CAGATGATTGGTTCACTATTGTATCTAATAGCTAGTAGACTATATATTATGTTTTCCATTTGTTATTGTGCTAGGTTCCAAGCCAATCCTCGCGAACCTCACATGGTAGCTGTCAAGAACATACTCAGATACGTGAAACGAACTTCATCTCTTGGAATATGGTATCCAACGAACTCAGGATTTTTCGTGCAAGCGTTTTCGGATGCTGACTTAAGGGGATGTGGTTTAGATAGAAAAAATCACAACTGGTGGATGCCAATTTCTTGATGGCAAACTAGTTAGTTGGCAATCCAAGAAACAAACGTGTGTTTCGTTGTCAACACCTGAGGCTGAATACATAGCGGTAGCTTTGTGCACATCCCAGGTCATTTGGATTCAAAGCCAGCTTCGTGACTATGGCTTAAGTATGAAATGAATCCCACTTTATTGTGACTCTGAAAGTGCAATTCACATTTGTCACAACCCAGTGCAACATTCCAAGACGAAAGATATATCACTGAGGTATCACTTCATCAAGGATCGTGTGGAAGATGGCAATATTGAGATACATTTCGTAAGATCCGCTGATCAGTTGGCTGACATTTTCACTAAGGCCCTTCATGAAACAACTTTTAATAGAATACTTCAAGGGATAGGAATAAAGGAAGCTGAATTAGTACCAAAACCACTTTCGCACTAATAAAGAAGTAAATGTGAATTGGTGCAAACGCTCACAGGTTTTCGTAGACAACTGTTCATTCATATTTTCTTTATTTGATGCGAATCAGTGTGAACGTTTGTAATAGTTCGTAGTTCACTGTTCATTCGTGGTTTGGTTACTTATATCCTTTTGTAATTTTTGTATACTTTTGCTTATGTTTATTCATTCGTGGTTTGGTTACTTATATCCTTTTGTAATTTTTGTATACTTTTGCTTATGTTTATTTCATATCTTTTCTATTTTTATATCTTTTTCAGAAAATCCCAAAAATCCAAATATATATTTTATTTTCCTTTCTTTTTATTTTTTTTAGAAAATCGAAAACAACAAAAATATTTTCCTTTGTTTTTTGTTTTATTTCCTTTCCTTTTCACAAAAATTACGCATATCAAAATAGATAATAGCGAAACTCGTGACAACACATATCCAAAGTTACTCTAATTCGCTTGATGGGGAAGGTATAAATTTCTTTATCCATGTATTAGCTAAGTGTCCCTAGAAGTATGCTGTTGTATGTTGTCAGAAGCCTCACTCGACTCTATGTGAAGCCTTAATAAATCAAATCTACCATTCGTTTCTTCCCAATTAGGCTGCTAAATTCACATTATTCATGAGCTACCTCACTCTTCTCATAATAAGTTAAGAGTTATCTGCTTAGTCACTCTAACACAACAGAGGTACGTTTGCTTTCTCTAGAACCACCTCACAATTTCTCCATCAATCTCGTTTTCATCAATGTAACCCTCGAGACTCTCAACATATACCATTGAGGTTTATGGTTACGAAACATTTGTGTTCATGATCTTAGCTTCGTACACCACGAACTGAGTGAAACCCACAATCCAACACCATAATGAATTGACTGTGAACCACTGAAGGCTCTAGCTTTTCACCCACGAATTAACGAAAGCCACTTTTATGGATAGTACTACGAAATTTCTTTTATCTTTGCGAGATCTTTATGAAGTGTTCTATTACCAAGTCACTTCTTCCCAAAGGATCCAATTTGAATTTTGTTTGAGATTTCAAAGTTTTATCTTGTCACTTCTATAACTATGAACCTACTCGTTCAACTGACTACACTGGTCATACTATCCGACATTCGTTCTTATGTCAAGTTCGTTGTCCAGGTTGGAGAGTTACCTACCCAATGAGCCAAAATAAAAGAATCTTTTCATTGCTTCTTATAAGACATCTGATTTTATTTTAACGGGAAATCACACAGGCACTTCTTAGTCTCTCTTCACTTCGAAGGAAGAAATCTTTGCATGGGATTCACAAATTTATGTCTTCACATTGACATCACATACTCTCCCAAATATACTTGATTTATTCCCTTTTCTTTGACACTCTTGCACGAAGAAGCTTACGATCTTCCAAAAGTTTTGTTCGTGGTTCATTATAACTTCTTTTAGGTTCTCACTTTAACCTAAGTTTTCTAAAAATGAAGGTTCGTCTGAATTGGACAAAGAATACTTAACTGCGAAAGATAGATGATGACGAGGCAAATTATGATGATAAGAATTCAAAAGGGCGCATGCAGAATTTATAACGGCCAGCTGTTTTTCCGCCGCATGACGCACACATCTGAAATCTACAGTTGTCAAGTCGCGCTATTTCAGGCGACGGTTTAGTACTAGATGCATTCTCTCTCTGCATTTCTCTCACAGATCGAATACTATATAAAGGTTTTGATGATTCATCTCTCATTATCATTTTAAAATCTCCTCAAAAGATATCCGCCACCCAAAACGCTCTCTACTATTTACAGTCTTCTTCAAACCTTCAACAATGGCGACTTCATCATCAGTACAAGATCAAACTGTTCACTCTTCTCTTCTGGTGCTCAAACCAAATCATAATCTTATTATTGATCTGAATCCATGCAATTTTGAGTCGTATCTTCTCTACATGATCGAGTGTCTCAAATATTCACCATTGGTTCATGTCCTAACCAAAATGGAGGATGTTCTGATGTCTCTTCTTTCAAGGGCATATTCTTCTACAAGCTACATCAGGGCGGAGAACAAGATTGTATTTGATATTCACGATCAGAAAACTTCCATCACCAAAACAATATTTTGTTCCCTTCTAGGACTTCTACAGTCAGAGGGCATGATTACTCTAGACACAATCCCCAATGTTGCTCTTTTGGATATGTTTTACCAAATGGGTTTTAAAGAGAATTTATCCACCCTATCAAAATTTTGCAAGCCCAACCTTCCTCTCCAATGGAATGCCCTATTCACCATTATTTTCAAAAGCTTTTCTAAAAGGATTATGGGGCCTAACTGTGCAAGTAAGTTATTCATGACCATCCTTTATGGCCTATATATAGGGATGAATATAGATCTTAGAGCAGTTCTATGGGCTCAGGTGATTCAAAAGCACCATCTCAACTAGGGCTGTGCATGGGTCGGTTGTGGACCCAAATCCAACCCAACCCAAAAATGGTCGGTTTCTGGTTTTCAGATTCCAATAGGACCGATTTCTGATCGGTTCGGTTTCTTGGGTTCTGAGGTCGGTTTGGGCGGTTTTTCGGTTTCTTGGGTTCAACCCATACACTAACGGGTTCTTGGTTTAAACCCATGGGTTTTGGGTTCAAACCCATTTTCCAAAAATAAAACAAGAAGTTAAATACTTCAAAAAACACCAAATTGAAGTTAAATACTTTAAGAAACATGAGTCTTATAACCAAATAATCTATTATAAATTATAACCAAAGCCCCAAATAGTCTATTACAACAAAAAGCACAATCAAGTATGGGTCGGTTTCTTGGGTTGGATGAATCGGTTTCTTGGGGTGGTTTGTCGGTTTTAAGTATGGGTCGGTTTCTTCGGTTGGATGGGTCGGTTTCTAGGTAAAAACTAAAACCGAACCCGACTTTTTGGTTTCTATAAAATTCAAACCCTAAGCGTCGGTTTTGCTTCGGTTTCGGTTTTTTCAGTTTCGGGTTCGTCAGTTTTAGTCGGTTTTTCGGTTTCTTGGTTTGGGTTTGATCACCCCTAATCTTAACCTCTCGTCACACTGAGATCTCTTGTATGCGTTTCTGGTCCCTGATTATTCGTAGGGCCATTGACAAACATAACATCCCAACAATGTTGGATGCCCTCGCTTTCTCAATTTCTACCTTTCATACAACAGGGATTATTGTCGCTGATGCCTCAAAGTTCTCATTCATTGGATCCATTTCGGAAGTCATGTTTTGGGATGTTCCTACATCAAGACTTCTTCTACAAGGTTTTCTCCAACTTACACCTTCTGGGTTTAGGCCTCTCACACCAGAAATGCAAGCAACCCTTGATGTTGTTGATAAACCGAAAATGGAGGTAAGGGATCGAATAAAACAGTGACGAAGGCTACTACAACAGAAGATCCACTTGGTGCTGAAAAACCTTCGCCCAAAAAGTGAAAAGCACCAGTAGCCGCTTCTTTTTCTCCTCCAAAATGAAGGAAACCACCGGCTCGCAAACGAAAAACTCCTACACCATCAGTAAGTGAAGAGTCAGATTCTTAGACTGAGTCAAATGTTCGAATGGATGCAAATCAGCCTGTTCATAATGAGGTAGAAACTGTGAACCGAGACCGTCCAGTTCGCAATGAAGAGGTCACTTCGAACCCATAGGTAAACCCATCTATCAATGACTCTGTTCCTTCTCCTCCACCTTCACCAAAAACAAGCTTAACCCCGATCACTATTGCTCCATGTCCCCCTCCTGTTACATCATCTCAACAGACAACAATACCCATCTCCACACCTATCTTAACTAATTCCACTACCACACCTTTAATTCAACGATTCCTGAGGTTACGGTCAACATATCTGATATAGGGGCTACAACTTCAGTTTTCACTACCCTTGTTTCTTCAACCATCTCTCCTATTTGTAATGATGATCCTGATATGATTCTTGGAGATAATGGTGATGATGAAGATCTACGTGGATTCACATATAGTCCATTTCAGATCAGGACTGATAGTGAAGATGAAGCCTCAGTTCCCAAAGTCAACTTGAAGCCATCCATGAGAAGCTTGACGAACTTTTGCTCGCCTCCTAGGCTTCTTCCTCTGATGCATATTCAAAAGCAATGATTGAATCTTTATTTGAGCGAATAACGAAGGAGCATGAAGAGAACGCTAAAAAGATGAATGCAACAGCTTTCAAATCTGATGAAGTATGCAAATCCACACCGAAAAAGTCGATAAACTAATTGTTGAAACAACTGCTTTCATGGAGAATTACAGAACTTACAACAACAACACCGCTTCTGCAATGAAGCTCTTCAGAACTTGTGAAAAATGTTCAAAACTGAGAAGCTCAACCTAGAGAAGATTCGCACTGGGCTGCAGCAAGACCATGTATCATTCCAAATATCCCTCACTTCTCAAATAACAGAGCTTCAGGATGATTTGGCGATGGAAAATAAAGTCATGGATTCCCTGGCCAAAAAGATAGGGAAGGTCAAAGTCTTGGATCAAAAGCTTCAACAGACTAAGAAATAGGTCAAGGATATGCTATCTGAGAGGGCAGTTGTGCAAAGCTGCACTACAGACCTCACTAGTCTGCTCTCAGATATCATTGAGACCAGGGACTCAATGATTTCCATTATAGTTCGCAAACACCTTGGTGAGAGGTTGAACCGAGTCTTAGCCATGTTGTATCGTTTATAGGGTGTTTTCCCTTAGTCGTTTGATCAGAAACAAGGGGGAGAAGGTTCATCTAAGGAAGATCATACAAAAGTCCATGCCAAGCCTGTGTTCAAGAAAGAATCTAAGGTCAAGGAAAAACTGATCGAAGAAAAGCCTATTATTGATGATGATGAAGACGAAGAGCCTAATGAAGTCAAACTTAAAAGGAAGAAGGCTCGTGATGCTGAACTAAATGAAGCCCAACGAATTATCAAAGAGGCTGAGAAAAAGGAAAGGGCAGAAAAGGAAGCTCAGGCCACTCTCAAGAGCAGAATGTTATTATTTCCAAATTGGACCTTGAAGAAGATTCAGCGCGATGTTGTGGACATGCCCGATCAATATTGGTTAGATCCTGTTGCGTCTTTTGATCGTCAAAATACTTAGGATTCACAAATTGATCTTCCAATCACTCCCAAAGCATTTAGGTTTTGGACTTTTGTGAAGGTTGTGAATGCTTCTCACATTGATAGTAGTGTCAATCAACTACTATTCTCATTTTACTTGAAGCACATGAAGCCCCAGTATGAAACTTGGAGCGCACACAAGATGGTAGCTATGAAGGTCACTGGCTCGAGCAAGACTAAAAGCTGATGGGTTTTATACAAAAGAACAATCCTATGTGCTCATGCAAAACCCTAAATGCTTGGATCTAGGTTTATCTATTGTACATGCAATTCATCCAAGACTTGAAACCCTAATCTAGCATACTATAAAAAAAACGAGATCTACAATTCAAGTTTAGATGATACCTTTCAATAGTTGCAAGAATCCTTTGATCTTCAAGAAGCTTAGTTTCACAAGTGTAACACCTCTAATGGCTTACAAACACCACAAGAAAGAGGATGATATTTAGGAGAGAAGATGAAGGTCAAAAGTCAGCTGCAAGCTTCCAAGGGATCAAGTGGCCGATTTTCTTAGCCCTAGGGGTCTTTATATACTTGAGCTTCTAGGGTTTCAGTCAAAACCCTAATTGGATGACTTAGGCCCTAAGCAACTTGGGAGCTTTCCGGAATAAGGCCTCCTTGGATGAATTCAAGATGGATTCCATCTTAATTTCGTCCATGCCCTAATCCATAACGATTCTCAGCCCAAAAATCAATTATCACACAATTGACAGTTCTAGTCCCCTTTAATTAATTAATCTCTTTTAGCAACAAAATTAAATCTTAATTAATTTTTGACTAATATTAATTAAATTATATGATTTCTCTTTTAATATATTATTTATATAATATATTAATAAACCATAATAACCTCTCCCTCTCCATAAATCATCCTGTCAAGTTGCTTTGGTGAAGGCAACCCAAAATGACCATGCACAACCGGGTCAAGTACTTACCAAATATAGTTACAAGCTTAGACACTAATCCAACAGTCTCCCACTTGGAAAACTCTAGTAACTATAAATGCAAGTACTATCCAATTAGCAATCGTAGCTCACAAAGACGCTGTCGAACTCTGATCTTGTAAGTAACCTGTCCTTTAGATAAGGGATCGTATAGTCCTCCGTTCTAGATATTGTGCGGACATTTACATGGAACATAGTCATACTTATTGTCCAACAGTTTGTTTCTCGATCTCTAATTTTTCTGACATAGAACTTTATTGAACACATCAACTCAGCTCTGATCGGGTCCGACACGTAAGTCAAACCAAATCATCGAGGGGATTAGATATAACTTTTACCCTCTTAGGATAAAAGGAACTAATAAACTTCAACTTATATGTACTTACCATTCACTCATCAAATCATGCACACCAATGCATTTTATAACATCAAGTTACTGATGCGTTTACGCATTATCAATGCACAACCAACTTTTAAACAATAAACCATATATCTAGGTTTTAAGACCATATGATATTATCGTCTTGCGATCACTCGAAATAAATTCCATGAAGTAATGCAAGCAAGCGCGGGTGTAATCCAATGCTCAAATCTTATTCATAAGCACTCATGAATGTTGCAACAAACTTTTGTTATGTCTAATACACTTTAGACAATCTACAAACCAATTCACAACAATATTCTTTCATACCTACTCCCAAAGTATGAGTGATTGTGGAATGTTCGAATAATCTTATTATTTAGGAAGTCAAAACATGCAAAGTGAAAAAATAGGTAAATAATCAATATAAGAAAGTAACTTTACTTATAAATGATACTCCTTTGTTTAATCATCAAATGTCAATTACATTTATCTATTACACGTTTCGAAGTTATCTAATCTAAAATAATATCGTCCTTCAGCCCGATGATCCTAGGGTGTTGCAAGTGCTTAACCCTACTCAGTCCCTTCGTAAAGGGATCTGCTGGGTTATCCTCCGACAATACCCTCTTCACTACGAGGAGTCCCTCTTCCACCCAATGTCGAATAAAATGATATTTCATGTCGATATGTAGAGATCTGCCATGATCCCTCGGTTCCTTGGTCAAGGGAACCATTCCTTCATTATCACAAAAAATATCCATAGGCTCCTTTATGGTTGGCATAACTCCAACGCCTCCGATGAAGTTCTTCAACTCATCTCTGCTATCTCGACTTCGGTACTCGGAATTTGAGTCTTACTCAACTTGGGATTACTTTGGATTAGTAACTCCCCTTTCTTGGAATTCTACATACTAAAACGTTTTAGTACCTTGTCCAAATAAGTGTTCTGACTAAGTCTTATTAGTCTTTTACTCCTGTTTCTCACTATCCTTATTCCCAGAATATAGGCAGCCTCTCCGAGGTCCTTCATAGCAAAACACTTCCCAAGCCAGGACTTGACTTCCTGCAGAGTTGGGATGCCGTTTCCTATGAGTAGTATGTCATCGACATACAATACGAGGAAGCTAACTATACTCCCACTGACTTTGACATATACACATGATTCATCCTCGCTTCGCAGAAAATAAAACTCTTTGAATTTTTCATCGAAACAAAGATTCCATCTATGAGATGCTTGTTTCAGTCCATAAATGAACTTCTCAAGCTTACACACTATATTGGGATGCTTTACATCGACAAAACTCTTTGTCTGATTCATGTAAACATCCTCAGCCAACTTTCCGTTAAGGAAAGCAGTTTTGACATCTATCTTCCATATCTCATAGTCATGACATGCAGCAATGGCCAACATCACCCTAATAGACTTTATCTTCGAAACTGGTGAGAAGGTCTCATCATATTCAACTCTGGTAGTTTGAGTAAAGCCCTTCGCAACCAATCGCGCCTTATAAGTGTGTACCTTCCCATCCATGTCAGTCTTCTTCTTGAAGATCCACTTGCACCCGACCGTCTTACGACTTGGCAGATTGCCAACCAAATTCCAAACTTGGTTTTCATACATGGACTGAATCTCACTATCCATAGCCTCTTTCCATTTTGCAGACTCCAAGCCCACCATGGCTTCCTTGTAGCTATTAGGTTCATCCAAATTTATTAGTGTACTATCACTAATAAACTTATCACCCTCACATGTTATATGGAAACCATACAACACGGGTGGAACACTAACTCTACTGGAATGTCTAAGAGGTAAGGATTCGTCAATCGGTTCAACCAGAGTTTCCTCCTATGGTTGAGCGCCAGCGTTAGAGGTTCCTTCACCGCTCGACTCTTGAAGCTCTTTAAGATTAATTTGCCTCCCATTGTCCCCTTGGCTTATGAGTTCTCGCTCTTAGAAAACCCCTCTCCTCACAACAAAGACAACATTGTCACTCGGCCTATAGAAGAGATATCCAGAGGACTTTTGCTGGTAGCCGATGAAAATGCACCACTCACTACGAGGTTCAAGCTTGTCGTGAGTCTCTCATCTTAAGAAAGCCTCACAACCCCAAACCTTGATATGTGCCAACGAGGGAGCTTTCCCTGTCCACATCTCGTGTGGTGTTTTCGCAACCTTCTTTGTAGGGACTAAGTTAAGGATATGGGCAACAGTATCTAAGGCATACCCCCAGAAAGAGATAGGTAGCAAAGCACGAATCATCATGGAACAAACCATGTCTAGCAAGGTTCAATTATGCCTTTCAGGCACACAATTCAACTGTAGTGTCCTAGGCGGCATCAATTGTGAAACGATTCCACATTCCTTGAGGTAGTCGTGGAATTCAGGACTTAGGTACTTTGCTCCTCGATCGGGTCGAGGCATCTTGATTTTCCTGCCTAACTGATTCTCCACTTCTTGCTTAAACTCTTTGAACTTTTTAAAGGTTTTTGACTTGTGGTTGATTAAGTAGATATATCCATATCTGCTATAATCATCGGCGAAAGTCACATAGAATCGGTTCGCATCCCTTGTGGTGGATCTAAAGGTCCCACAGACATCGGTGTGTATGAGATCTAATAAATCCTCACCCTTTTCACAAGTACCAGTGAAAGGTGACTTGGTCAACTTTCCAAGTAAACAAGACTCGCACACGTCATCGTCCCTAAGATCGAATGACTCCAACACTCCATCCTTTTGGAGTTGGGCTATGCATTTCTTGTTGACTTGTCCAAGATGACAATGCCACAATAATGCTTTATCCAAACTATTGGAAGACTCGATACACAACACATCATTTCCTAAGTTGTCTACAACCATCACAATTTCATATATTCCATTACAAGGCAATACTTCAAAATAGAAAACACCGTTAAGATAAGCATTAATAGAACCCTTTTCATTATCAAATGAATATCTACATCCTCATCTATACAAACCATGAAAGGAAATAATGTTTTTTGCCATTTCAAGAGAATATAAACAATTATTCAAATCTAGTCCTAATCCATTACTAAGCACTAAAGGGTAAACTCCAATCTTGGTGACAAGCGACGCTCTTCTGTTCCCCATGATCAAGTTTATCTTCCAATGCTCCAGATCCCTATTTCTTCTTAGGCCCTGCAAATCAGAACCAATGTGAAAACCACACCCTATATCAAGAACCCAATAAGTAGCATGTGATGAATCATTAGATTGAATAGTGTAAATACCTGCGAAGGACAGCTTGATGTTTCCATCCTTGATATCTTTCAGATACTTCGGGCAGCTTCGTTTCCAATGTCCCTTCTCATGGAAATCTGCATCCTTTGGGTTGGAAGTGGGTCCATTAGAACCATACTTGCTTCCACTAGAAGAGGTGCCATCATGGGACTTTCTCTTATGGTGGCTCTTTGAGGGAGCCTTCCTCTTCTTACCATTTCCTTGCCCAATAGCCAAGACGGGGGAAACAGTAGGAGTGGGAGTTTTACAACAAACTTGTCCTTGAGGTTTCTCTCAGCAGCCCTCAACAGACCTTAAAGTTTACTCAATGTGACCTCCTCTTTGTTCATGTGGTAGGTCATGTGAAACTGGTTGAAGCAGGGTGGTAGTGAATGAAGGATGATGTCAATCTCCAGCTCTTCATCGAAGTTAACATTTAACTTTAGCAAGTGATCAACATACCTCTACATCTTCGGCAGATGAGCAGTGACAAAATCTCCGTCTCTCATCTTGGTTGTGATCATCGATATGATGATCTTGTACCTCTCATGCCTCACACTTTGGTGATACCTTTCAACCAAGTCCTGATGCATTTTGTAGGGATAGAAGTCCTCGTTGTACTTTTGGAGTTCAACAGTCATTGTCGCTAACATGATGCAATGGACTTTCGTGGCATCACGCTCATGGGCATCAAAGGTAGTGATCTCTTCGGGAGTAGCAGTGTTCATGTCCACCTCTTTTAGCTCCTTGTCAAGGAAATATTCCTTGTCCTCATAGCGGGTGACCATCCTTATGTTTCGGATCTAGTCATTGAAATTGTTTCCGTTAAAGATCACCCTCCCACACAAATTCATGAGTGAGAATGAGTCAGAGGTGTTCGAGCTTGAAGCGTTGTGGTTTGTGTTTGACATCTGAAAAAGAAAAGAAACAAAGTTTGATTAGATAAGAATCCCCAATTAAACACCCAAATGAGAAATTAGGGCTAGGATCCAACAACATTATTTACAAATTAGAAGAGGGATGCTGTAACCTAATATGCAAATAATTTGAAGGTAAGTGAATGACGATTCACTAATTCTACACCATGAAAAATGAAAAAGCGATTAAGTTTTAAATGTATTGAAAACTCCTAGATCTTTTGAGATTCATTGAACTTTTCAACTGCATGTTTAAATCTTGATATGCCCCTCGAGTTTGTGACTGGGATGCCGAGGATCACAAAACAGGGTGTAAATAACCATGCAAATGTACATGGTGCCCCCAATGTTACAGTCACCTAATCGACGTGCCGATTAACCACACACACTCCATTGATCTATGACGAACATCGAGTCACCCTTTGCCACCTTTTCTTTGAGCCAAATTAGTGTGTCGGTTAACCACACACAATCCACTAACATCTTAGCAAGGGTACAAAGTGTAATTTCATTGTATAAAATCAAATTCACATTTTGCCTAAAGTTACTAAGATTGGAAATTTTGTGAAAACATTTAGTTACTTTATAATTCATTATACTTTTAATGAGGAAAGGGTTGCCCTCTCCCACCCGTTCGACTAACGACCCTCCACCAATCAAGGAAGCGGTGGGTGAGAGTGGACACCTATTATACGGCCATTTTATAGGTCATAACCTTATACCCGACCCCTTATAGATCAGCTTCGTGAATGAGGCCTACTAACGGTAAGACTAGCATTTAAGTTATACATATATAATATTTATTCTTATAGTGTTATAATAGTATTGGGTGAATTTTAAACTTCTAAACTTCTAGGGTTTGGAATTTAATAATTTCAAAATTAAACTTTTAATGCAAAAAATTAAATTCCAAAACTTGAGGGCAAGTTTTGAAACATTTCAAAACTATCTAGATTAAAATTCGATTAAATAATTAAACAATTAATTATGGTGATTATCTAATTTTGACCTAATCCAATTTCATGCAAGATAATGACCAAATAATCCAAACAATTAACATTTATCATATAAGGAAGTAATTATTCAATTAATTTGAAATTATATTTTATTTTGGCAAGGATAATCATGCAATATCAATAAAATTTGTATTTTATTAATAAAAAACGATATGGTAATTATGCCACAACAAAATAGGCATGAAATCCCGAAATACCCTCTGTCTGACAGCCAGACTCGTCAAGTCCCCATATGGACTCGCCGAGTTCATCCTACTCATCGAGCCCACATTGGGACTCGACGAGTTGCCAGTCAGATGACCAAAAAACCGATTTTTCAAGCATGAATGAAACACAAAGCTTCAAATACAATAAAAACCAATCAAGGCTCTGATACCACTGATGGGTTTTATACAAAAGAACAATCCTATGTGCTCATGCAAAACCCTAAATGCTTAGATCTAGGTTTCTCTATTGTACATGCAATTCATCCAAGTCTTGAAACCCTAATCTAGCATACTATCTAAAAAACGAGATCTACAATATTACAAGTTTAGATGATACCTTTCAGTAGTTGCAAGAATCCTTTGATCTTCAAGAAGCTTTGTGTCACAAGTGTAACGCCTCTAATGCCTTACAAACACCACAAGCAAGAGGATGATATTTAGGAGATAGGATGAAGGGAAAAATTTGGCTCCAAGCTTCCAAGGGATCAAGTGGTCGATTTTCTTAGCCCTAGGGGTCTTTATATACTTGAGCTTCTAGGGTTTCAGTCAAAACCCTAATTGGATGACTTAGGCCCTAAGCAACTTGAGAGTCTTCTGGAATAAGGCCTCCTTGGATGAATTCAAGATGGATTCCATCTTAATTTCGTCCATTCCTTAATCCATAAGGATTCTCAGCCCAAAAATCAACTATCACACAGTTGACAGTTCTAGTCCCCTTTAATTAATTAATCTCTTTTAGCCACAAAAATTAATTCTTAATTAATTCTTTACTAATATTAATTAAACTATATGATTTCTCTTTTAATATATTATTCATATAATATATTAATAAACCTTAATAACCTCTCTCTCTCTCTCTCTCCATAAATCATCCTGTCAAGTTGATTTGGTGAAGGCAACCCAAAAGGACCATGCACAACCGGGTCAAGTACTTACCAAATATAGTTACGGGCTTAGACACTAATCCAACAAAATCTTCCCCAACGCAAGGTTAAAAGTAGCGAGAGGATCAGCTTGTCAAGGATACAAATTCTTCCTCGCAGACTTGCCCCGCCTGAACTCCAATGACAGGATTACTCTTTACAACATGTTGCTGAGAGAAAAAGAGAAGTACGAGCATGCGATGTCCCATCTCCAACTTATAATCAAGTCTTATATTCAAGAGGTTAGTTTGATGGATGTGAATATAACCACTGTGTTGAAGAAGAAGCCAACGGCTGTTCCCAAGGAAGCTCCAAAAGACTTTGAAAATTTGAAGCCAGGAAAACATACAAGGAAGGATGGTTTGTAGTGTATCAACTCAGAGAACAATCAAAATCTGCCTTTCGCAAGTCTTACTTCTATCTTGATGACAAACATCTCTACAACATTTAATGTCTAGAATTTATATTGGACCTAATCACAAAGTTCAAGGGAAACCACAAGGGTGGCGTCAAGTGCTTATCTGATATGATTTTGTGGTACATCCAAATTCGCAAGATGCTGCTGAGCTTTATTCCGAAAATCTATAAAGTGCAGAAGCGAATCACTAGATGATCGGCTACAACCCAATTGATGCATAGGGGGCAATTGTTGAGATATTTAAGTGTTGCGTCGTTGGGCCTTATTATTTGTCGTTTTTGTAAATGATTTGGGTTTGTCCAACCGTAGTTATTATTAGGGTTAGATTATAAATGGTGCATGCATGCATCTTATTTTAGTAGCTTTTGACTGAGCTTTTCTTGTAACCCTAACACGCCTCTACAGTAGCAATTCTTCAAAGAGTTCTTATGAGGTGGTGTCTTTCAATCATTCGACACCAATTGATACATCTTGTGTTCTTGTTTTCATATCGTGCTATTTATTTACTTGTCAAAATCTAATCGATCTAAGAGAATTTTATTTCTATCACTTATCCTTACAACGCAAATTCGAATGAAAACTATGCTATTACATATTCCTAAGCAATCTATCATAACTCTAAGCAATAGCTTAAAAATCCAATCATCAAATCCTGCGATCGAAATCCATTTCTTCGTGATCAGACTCAACTCACTTCTTCCTTTAAGCTTCCTTTCTTTTCTTCGATCCTACAACACATCAAAATGCAATATTATCACATCATGTATTAAGAATATCGAAATAGGAACTTAATAGAGTTAGAAAGTGGATTTACCTGAAGCAGAGTCATACATCTTGACTCTCCCATCTTCGCGATCTCTCAGGTAAATCTGGTAGCTTCGCATCTAATGCCCATTCTCTTGATAATAGAAACAAATGTACTATTTTTTAATGGTACACAGGACAATCTAAGACTTAGCCTTTCTCTTGTGTAAAGAAAACTTTTCTGGACTTCCAATGTTGCCATTGTCCATGAAAATATGGGAGGTTGATCTACCAGGAATATTTTCTTGATCAGTGTGCCAAATCATTGCTGATTTAGCAGCAATAAGAAAATAGGTAAGATCAATGAGGGTTACGTCATGGTCCATCATATAGTGCTCTCTAATAGACACACTATATGATTCGGGAAGTGATTGAAGAACCAAGTCAACAACCAACTTCCTTGAGACAACGACACCCAACATTCCCAACCAGTCAATGTGTGACTTCATCTCTAAGACATGTTCACACACATACTTTCCATTTTTTTGTGTTTACTTGCCAATAGGGATTGAGTGACCTTGAACTTTTCAAGTCTTTGAACACATGGGTCAGGGAGAACAATAGGAGGAGGTGGAGGAAGTGAAGCAAGATTTCCATTTCCACAATCCAATCGTGGAACATCATCTCCATGTGGAAAAACTTTTTCCAAAGGATTTGGGAAGACCATAGTTATCATAACTAGACATCTACAAGGGGAGAAAATTCAAGTTAGTTGATTGAGTCCTTAATAAAACACTCAAATGAGATATTAAGGCTAGGACCCAACATAATATTCTATAACTTGGAAGAGGGATGCCGTAATCCAGTTGTAGAATATTTGAAGGTAGGTCAATGACGATTTACCGATTTCCACCATGAAAAATGAAAATTAAAAATTAGGTTTTAAATGAATTGAAACTCCTAGATCTTTTGAGATTCATTGAACTTTTCAATGGCATGTTTAATCTCGATTATGCCCTTCAAGTTTGTGACTGAGATGCCGAGGATCACAAAAAGGTGTGGATAACCATGCAAATTAGCTTGGTACTCTCGAAGATGTCATCACCTAATCAATATGTCGGTTAAGCACACACACTCCATTGGTCTATGATAATGTACGAGCTATCCATTGCCATTCTTCATTGGTCCCATATTAGTGTGCCGGTTAACCACACACGCTCCACTAACGATCAACAAGGTGCAATGTGAAATTTCATTGATTAGCACCAATTCCACATTTTTCCTAAAGTAACTAATATATGGGAATTTGTCAAAGTGTTTAGTTACTTCGTATTTCATTATACTTATAATGGAAGGTTGTGTCATATCCTACCCATTCAACTAACAACCCTCCACTAGTCAAGAGTGTGGTGGGTAAGAGTGGATACCCAATGTCGATCATTTTACAAGCCGCTTCCTTAAACATCCCTTATAGATCAGCTTCATGAATGAGACCTACTAATGGTAATACTGACTCTTTACTCATACTTATTTAATACTAGAATTTTAATTTTATATTGTATAAGGATGTATTTTACACTTTTAAAATACTATGTGGTCTAATTTAATAAAATTACACTTTTAATTTAATTAAACACAAACCATATCATTATGGTTTATTAACTCTCTTTTAATTATACACTTAATTAATTTATAAAACCATAAGGATGTCATTTGAACTTTTCAAAACACTAAGGTTTTAGAATTTAATATTTCAAAATTAAGACCTTTTAATTAAGTTTTAAATTCCAAATCTTGAGGAAAAATTTTGAAACTTTTCAAAATATTAGGGTTCAACTATTTAAATTTCAAAAACTAAAATTTTTAAGTTCAAATTTAAACTATAAAACCTACAGGGTGTAAATTGAAACTTTTTTCAAAATTAATAGGTCAAATATTTGACTTATAATAATCCTATATTATCCATATTTAACAAAATCCATCAATTTTGATGAGGATAACCATTCCAACCATAAAAAATCGAGTTTATGCAAGAAAAACGATTTTTGGAAGTAATCCTCAACAAAATCTGGCAAGAAAATCAAAATTCTTGGCACCAGACCCTAGGACTCATCGAGTCCACTATGGAACTCGTCGAGTAGGACCTACTCGTCGAGTCCATACATGGACTCGGCGATTCAGCCATTCAGAAGGCAAAAAATTCGATTTTCTTGAACTTTAGCAATTCACTTTTGCACTTGTTCACTAGAAAAATTACCTAGGCTCTGATACCAATGTTGGGTTATATGCATAACATAAATCCTATGGTGTGCATGCAACCCTAATTGCATTGATCTAGGTTTTTCTAAGTAAAAATACAACATTGAATGCCAAAGCAATAAACCCTAATTCTAGCATAGTATAATCGAAATTGACATATGATTAGGGTTTAGATCTTACCTTGATTGTTATGTAGCAATAACAATCACAAACCTTCTTAATCTTGACTCTTGAAAGCTTAGTGTCCCAAGTGTTGCACCTCTAATGGAGTCACAAACACCATTAGCAATAAGGATGAACAAGAGAGAGAAGAGGGGGTAAAATAGGCTCTAGAACTCTTATTAGGGTTAGGTTAGCCAATTTTGGATGCCTGGGGTGTCCTTATATAGCTGAGGAATTAGGGTTTCACTTAAAGGCATTATCTGGTTGCTTAGGCTCTAAGCAGTCCACAAGATCCTTCCAGAATACTCCCTATGGACGAAATCTTATGGGCTATCCATAAGGATTTCGTCCTACCCCTTTCCAAGGGTTCCTCAGCCCACAATGTAATTAATCTTATAATTACAATATTAGTCCCCCAAGTTTAATTAATCTCTTTTGACTACAAAATCAATTCTAGATTAATTCTTAATCAATATTAATTAAACAATATGATTTATCCTTTAATATATTATTCACATAATATATTTATAAATCATAATTTATCCTCTTTCTCCTTAATTCATTCTAACAGTTGCTATGGTGAAGGTAACCCAAAAGGACCATGCTCATAATCAGGTCAAGTACATACAAAAATATTTATGGGCTTAGACACCTAATCCAACACTTTTATGTATTAATTTTAATTGGGGTGGCCACGACATGGTGGAGCATCACCATGACATGGCGGAGCGTTTTGGATTGCAGGATTTAAATGACCCGCCACGACATGGTCTTGGTGAAACACTATGTGGTAGGTTTTGTAACACCCGTAGATCTAGGCTAGTCAATTTAGTGACGTTAAGCGTCAAAAATGACTTTTTTATAGAAGATCATTTAGAATGAATAATCTTAACTAAGTTGTAGTATATGTTACAAGGATTCCGTATATATAAAGAATGTTGAAATCCGAGTTATAACGAAGAAGTTTTGACCTGTCGAAGTTTCGCGACAGAACCGACACGCGTAAATAATGAATTTACAATAACGTGTATTTTAGCCTTAGTGATCTAAACGAAAGTTATAGAGTTTGTTAAAATGAGAGCGTGCATAAAAAGAATGCCCAAATCTTACTTCGTATGAGGAAGTTATGATTTTTCTAAATTTCAGCTTAGCAGTATGCAGCCCGAAACCTAAATTTGAGATCGAGTGATTTTTGGTCAAAACAATCTAAACGAGAATCGAATATCTCATTATTAGTATTGTAACAGTGAAAAGACATTCAAAAACAGACGTCAGATGGAGGATTTATGAATTTCTAACGGAGTTTTCCTGTCCCGACCTACTAAAAATAATATATTATTAATATATTAAGAATAAAGTCAAAAATAGCCGACAAAGTCTAAATGAAAGTTGTAGATCTTGTTTTTACCTACGCGTGAATATAAAGAACATCGAAAACGGAGCTCATATGCAAAAGTTATGAATTTCTGAAGTTCGGGGCGTGAACCCCAAAGCTGTGTCAGAGTTCACGGCGTGAACTGACTTTTGACGCCTTCTGTAGCCTGAAAGACGCAAGTTGCGATGACGCACCTGATGACGACTGAGCTCATGACATGCATATTTGAGATTCACGACGTGAATCCAGAAAACCAGCCCTATAAATAGAAATCGAAGGGCAGCCGATTTACAGTTTCACGATTGAACTCACGACATGAATATTTGAGATTCACAGTTTCACCGAACAATACTACTTCTACAAGCCGTAGTGCTGCCCGATCATCTTCTGATCAAGTGAGTGTATAGTCACTTTCTTCTAACACATAAATATTAAGTATTTGCTATGAAATATGTGCTATGTGTATAATAGATTGTTGCTTATTTGAGATGGTTGTGGAATGGATGAATTGTATACATTATTATCACATTGTTTGAACTAAGAGCTTTCTTACTATGTGTTCCTTAGGTGATTGGGTTCACCAGGGATATTCGAACTAAGTGTTCATTAGATATTTGAACTTAGTGTTCATCAGGGATATTTGAACTAAGTGTTC